CTATATACTTAATAAGCTTACTCATTCTAACAAAAGTATGACTACATTGGCTCATTCTTAAGACAGTTCAGAATAACATGCTAAGTAATTGAGAATGAACATGAACTTCTCTATCTCTTGGACCCACCTCAGTTAGATGGGACTATAGGCATAAGCCACCATTCAGGAATGAAACTCATATCTAAGCAGTTTACCAACTGAAGAAATTCCTAAAGTTATAAATTTCTACAAATTTTTACTAATATACTGTGGACAAATTTAAGATTTATGAGCCCACAAAACAAAAGTAATTTCCTTATAGTACTGAAATCCATTTATTAATGAAAAGTTAATATTTTTAATATTATTAATTCTATAAGAACCACCCTGAGGACAATGAGACTGGTCCAAAACATATTGTCTACTCACTTAACAAATAAAGAGTTTTAAGAGCAGGCAGTTAATAGTGAACTTACCTATAAGTTCAGGAACCAAGATTGGAAGATAGCTATCAACTTAGCATAAACCAATAGTTATGAGTAAGGTTTGTGGCATCATGTAGTAAATGCAGCCATACCTGGGCATCATATATCAATACCATGTATACTGGAAGTAAGGCAGGTGCTTTTCAGGGACATTTAGAATGCACACCTTTGAGAATGTCATGTCACTGATAAACTGAGATTTACATTGACAACATCTAGTGGAAATATTTGTCTAAAAACATCCACAGATCCTAGGATAATAAAATCTTCGCATAGTTAAGGAAGATTGAGGTCTGTCAAGCCAGAGCACAGAAAAGAAAAGAAAGATACAATAGAGGGAGGAAGAGAAGGGTAGAGATAGGAGGAATCAGGATAGGAGAGATGAGGAGGGAATGCAGAGGAAGAAGAGAGGATAGAAAAAAGCTAAAGGATATATGTTCAATGGGAATTTTGGTTGTGGAGTCTCAGTTATGTTAGTAGATCATGCAGGCAAGGAAAATATGTGATTGTTATTTGTACCAATCATTTTAGTATTTATGAACTATAGAGTTGATTTGATAAGGATGAGAGTAGCAAGTACTAAAATCCCACAGTTAATCACAGGGGCTTTCATTTTTTTTCCTTTTTTTAGGGAATGTATGTTCCAGTCACCTCTGGAGAAAAGAACTTGAAGATACTTGGGGTCGTGGGTGGGTTACTAGACAAGGCCTTAGAAGGAAGAAAGGTGCTAAACTCCTTTTCAGTATAATATACCAACAGGTAGGATGTAGGCGCCTATGACTGAGACAGAATGAATGGTGAGAAGTAGAACTGTGGGCTGTGGTGAGCCAAGATTATTTTTGTCTATATTAAACTGTATATATTTAGTATATTTTCATGGACGCAAAATGTAAGCAATTGTGTATTAGATATTTCCGTAGACTAGGCTGGCAGATAGTTGTGGAAACGATAAATATGTAGGAGTTGTTCACAGCTAGTGGATCTGGTGATTGTAGCAGCCATTAGCCATACACAGAAAAACCAACAGACCTGAAGCTAAGCTCTGAGAGAAAAGACTGGAAGAAGGTGAAAAAGATGGGTTGCTTTCCTTTAAATAACATTTTAATTTATTCTTTGAAATTTTCATAGACTCATCATCCCTCTTTCTACTTCTCCTGCCCCCTTAGCATATCAACCCTCCTACTTCCCTATTCTCAGAAATCTGTAGAGTCCAATTAGTGATGCACATATGTACATGGCAAACCACTCAAACTCCCAATGTTCCAGGAACATCCTAGAAGAGATGGCAGGAAGAATTTAGGAGCTAGAGGTGTGGAAGGTTGTTTTGAAATGCTGTGTTCTGATTTTTGTTTCTCACTATCTCATTATGCAGTCCAGGCTGGACTCAAATTAAAACTCATGATATTCCTGCTTATTTATCTCATGAATGCTAAGATTGAAGATGAGTACACTGAGCTAATGAGCTCAAAATCTCTCTTTCTCTGTCTCTCCCTCCCTCCCTCCCTCCCTCCCTCCCTCCCTCCCTCCCTCCCTCCCTCCCTCCCCCCTCTCTCTGTCTCTCTCTGTGTGTGTGTATGTGTGTGTTTGTGTGTGTATGCATGCATGTGCCTGCCTAAATTCAAAAGAGGAAGAAGTCGATACCTTCTTCTATAATCATTCTCCTTATTTTTGAATGTTTGCCTTTCAGACATAAGGACATTATTTTGATTCTCAGATCCTGGGTACAAAGGCTAAGTGTGGCATGTGTTTATGAGTCCATCACTGGGGAGGGAAAAATAGGCAGGTCTCTGGGGTCACTGGCCAACCAGCCAGCCTGAACCACTTTTCAAACCACAAGCCAGCAACAGGCTTTGTCTCACAATAGCAAGGTGGGAAGTACCTGTATGGGAATAGGTGAAGTTGACCTCTGGCCTCTACACACATGCCTCTATATGTACTAGCAATGCTGTATAGACCTGTGCACCAGTATACACACATAAAGTAACAGCTGTGACCTAACTAAAACCATGATCCTTTGGGCTTGGCATACTAAAGTTATAAAAATAATGATAAATAACATTCTGGGGTAAAACTGAAGTGTGGAGACATTGAAAGACTAATTAAAATCATAGACCACTGTTAGCAAATGATTCCTCAGTGAGTAAAATTGCTTGCTGCCAAGCTTTATGACATAAGCTCAATCCTCAGGACCCACATGATTGCATGAGAAAACTAACTCTGATATCCACACTTGCACAGACACACACACAAACACACACACACACCACACATAGACACACACATACACACCACACATACACACACACACAATACTTGAAATTATTATTCCCAAAGAGATAGATGGCTTTATAAAGCACAAATAATCTTTACTCCATGTTTTTCTGTCCTGAATGTCTCTTACCAAATAAGTAAGCAAACATCACAAATGAGAACCACAGAAGCTTCCCAAGAGTGACAAAGATTCCTCATTGAGGAGTGAGGTAAAGGGTGAATTAGACCTCCTCGGACTTACAGGTAGCAAAAGTCCTTTCTTGGATAGGCTGTCAATGCTTCCCTCATAGATCATAGTCTTTCTAAAAGTGCTTGTTCACGATAAAGGCAGTTGTTTCCCCAGTCAATCTCCTCACTTTTAACTTCACTTTTCAGACCCACCGTAGCCAAGAGTTTGCCCAAGGAGCCATTAATACTTGATAGTTTGGTGTTTTCATTCTCAGAGATCATAATTTAGTACATAGAACAATTGGAAAGCAAATGCATTTTTATGAAGCACTTTGAATGCTTCTGAGGCAAGGACTATTTTATGCTGACTTTCATGAACAGCAGTAGGCACATGTGAGGTCCCTCTATGACCCAAATCACTAATCCACTGAATTGTTGTGATAATTTCAATTGCCAACATGAAAGCAAGGAATCCCCAATGAAGGAGATGTAAGTCAGTGAACTGATTGACTTATGGGCATGTCTATGGGAGAATTACCTTGAATGGTGAGAAGGCATGCCCACTTTGAGTGTCACCACTGCATGTTATACTGGATGGACAGAAGCCATGGATGAAACAAGTTGGACATCAGCATGTGGACATGTATCCATCAATCTCTCCTCTTAGCTGTGGATGGAATGTGACTAGCCTCCTCAGCTTTCTGCCACCTTGATTGCTTGGCAATAATGGATTGCAACCCAAGATTATGAGCTGAAAATGTTCTTTACAAGGTACTTTATCTTAGTAATAGGAAACAGAGCTAAGATAACCATGTTTTTAAAAGTATATTGACTAAGTGTATTAACTCCTTACATGACACTGGATATTCTTATGAAAGCAGCAGGTGAATG